TGGAGCCCTACGTGGACGACCCCAACCTACCGCAGAACGACCTCAAGAAGATTGTGTACGAGGTGATGTATGCGGGTCTGACAAGTGAAGGGGGCGGGGCGGGGGTAGAGAAAAATTGCAATTCATATCAGGGCATCGAAAACGGTGGGTATAACGCCCCACGGTCTGACGAGCCGTCGGAGCAATGGCACATGGGTTCCTTTAACGAAAGAAATCATGATATACATTTTATTGGCGAATGGTGCGTTCCTCTCTGAGACGGTTGCAACTGTCTTGAAGGTGGTCAGCCGCTGCAACGTGCTGCTGGACTGTGCCTACAAGGGCGAGCTGGACCTCGACTGCTGCAATTTCTTCTCGCCCATCTTCACGGAACATGGCTTCTGTTACACCTTTAACCTGCGCTTCAACGAGACGGAGTGGCCTTAGTAGGTAGCATGCACAGATCCCGGCCGGGCCCCCGGCCTTGTTTCGGGGGCACAGCCCTACTTACAGAGGCTGAAAGTAGTGCTGGTCGCCTAATCAATCAATCAATCAATCAATCAATCAATCAATCAATCAATCAATCAATCAATCAATCAATCAATCAATCAATCAATCAATCGGTCGATCAATTACTTTAGTTCGACGCCCTATCGTAGCCTGATGATATCTGCCCTCAGCGACTACAACCGACGGCCCGTCTTCACAAAGGAGTTCATCCAGGAGACGGACATGACGTGGTCCATGGCGGTGGACACGAACGACGCTCAGAACAACACCATTTCGGTGTACATCGGCAGCAACGACGACCTGCCCACGCTCGACATGGCCCCGCAGCACGTCTGGAACCGTCGCATCGCGCGGCTCTCGTTCGACGCCAAGGAGACGTACACGACGGACTCGGCGCGTCAACTGTCTATCCGGCAGCGGCGCTGTGTGTTCGAGGACGAGATCGCACTGGTCACGGACACGATCTACACGTTCACGGCGTGCATGCGCCAGTGCCGCATGGAGCTGGCTCACGCGCTGTGTGGCTGCATCCCACCCTTCTACCCGCCGCCCGCTCGCAAGGTCAAAGGCTACAAAAGTACGAACTGTATTTTATTGTTATTATTATTATACCCAACACTTTGCACACATGTCCTGTTATTCCTAGCCACACATGGATTTCGAAACGATTCCACAGTCGTCGTCCCTGCTGTCTTTTCGATATCGGAGCTATACTGGCGATGTCGCTCAAAACGTAATTTCTCTCTGGGTTGTTGCAGTAAACTTTCGGTACTGCACGCTGAAAGAACTGGGCTGCATCGCCAAAAATGCTGGTATGTGTGAATACACGCTGCTGTCTGTTCTGCCTGTTTTTAGCTTGTCCTTTACGAACACTTCACCCCACATCTACCTCTACCTCGTGTTGGAGAGAGCGAGTATTGTTATCAGTGCCGTGTGAAATTTATCGGGCAACCTTTTCATCTACTTTTGCCGTGCATACATGGGGGTTTAATCCTCCACGTAACCAGTTCATGGCCTCTTCAGTGGCGTGAAGCGTGACTCGGGACAAGGAAGAATGTTCGCCGTATTTTGTTCCGGAAATTGGTCAATATCTCGCCTACGCGTATAGTGATCGCGATCATTATTAGTCTGGGAGAAATGACAAGTGACAACAAAAGTGGCGTTTTCTCCAAAGAGTTTCACACTTCACTGATAACAGTATTCAGTATTCGTTCCTCTTGAGGTTAGTGTGAAAAGTAGGCGTACACGTCCAATTTTCTCAGACCCACTCGGTATTCCGGGAGCTCGGCGCCTGCGATACTCAGGGTAGGCCACCCCACAGTACATGCATGCATTGCATGCGAGATGTTGCCTACCTACAAGGCGCCATGAGAGCTGCGTGCATTTGCTGCCCGTGGCAGTTACGTAACGGCAAGTAAGGGACGTACTTTTTAGACAGTCCCCAAGACTGTCTCTACCAGAGGGTATTTCGATGATCCCACCACAATGAGTGTGATAATTTAAATGAAAAAACGAGTTATTCCAACTCACAAAATTTATTTTTTGTTCCCTACATCCCTTGTTTTTATATATGTTAATCAAGTGATCCAACAAACTAATTTTATCCACCAGACAAGTTCAGCAACCGGCTCAGCAAATGCTCTTGCGAGTTGGGCTGCAGCAACACCGTGTACGAGATGGAGAAACTGTTGGAACCGACGTAAGCTCTGCCAATCTGGAACCAAATGAAGGACGTCTGCGTCCAAATTCTGAGTCTGCGCAGGATAAAGATTCAGCATTGTTGTATTTGAAACAGAGATCCGAACGGGGACGATGGAGCTGAATTTCTGGAGATCGGGTTCGTCTCATGGCCCATGCAGAAATACAAGAGGGAAGTCCTCTTCGGATGGGTGGACTTGCTTGGTGAGTGGAGCCGTTCTATATCTCTCTAGTGGTTTCAACTTCAACAGTGGTTTAGTGGTTACATATCGTACTTACGACATACATGGTATAGAAACGGTCGACATTTGCAGTGGCCTTCGGTGGCATCGCCGGGCTGTTCCTGGGATTCAGCCTCCTCAGCGGGGTAGAGATCGTCTACTACTTCACCTTGCGGGCCTGCTGCATGGTGTGCCGCGACAAAGAGAGCCTGGAGCGGCTGGCCCTGGAATACGAGCAGTGAGTTTTGAAAGATTCCAGGCGCCGCGCGGCGGGGCCAGGCCAGGCCGGGCAGGAGAGCATCTCCCTCATTTGGTCGTATTTGATGTCGAATAGGATGGAGCAGCCCAAGGTGGACCTGTCGCTCAGGCCTGCCTTCATGGACCCCAGGGGCAAGGAGGGCCAGCAGCAGGAGCAGGGGCAGGCGGACTCGAAGGACCTGAAGGCCCCAAAGGACCTGTGGGCAGCCGCGTTGGATTCGGACTCCATCGGGGGGCTCGGCTACGGCAAGGGACGTGCATATACTTCTGGACGAGGTGCCAAAGCTGCCACGGGGCAGCGTCGACGCACAACCGGCAGGAACGTCAAGAACGCCGGGAGCAACTGGCCTTTGCCTTATATCCCATGAATAAAGTGCCCAGAACTGCCGATTTTTGTTTGCTACCGAATCACCACTTACAAGACCACACCACGCAATACACGCGTTACACGTGCTACTTAGGTAATTGGGTTGTCCTCGGGGAGGGCTGTTAAGATCAAATAACAGGAACTCGATGCGTCATACCTACAGGATGGCATATCGGCGGTTATACGGTGTCGGATGCAGGGGATACAGGAGGTGCGAGGGAGGGGCTTCCAATCAAACCACCGGCAACTTGACGAAAGAGACGTTAATTTGATGAAAATATGTCCCAAATTTGATTATTTTTTGACGAATTTCCGCCCAATTGATGTGGGGGATTGGGGGGGGGGGGTCGCACAGTTAAAACCTTACGAAGCAAAAAATGTCAAATCCTTCGTACCTACGAAGAATTGGCTACCTACGAAGTTTCTTCGAGCGAGCGGCGTTGAACGCGGCTTTGACCAGACGTTGAAAGAGCGGCCGCCGACAGCGGCGAGCGTGGCACATTCAAGCCAATTTTACACGTATTCGTTTGTGTAAAACCACTCCAATTTATCATACGGTTGCAAAATGCCATTATGTGTACAATGTTCCTTGGCCTTTTCTTGTTAAAACTATGTGTGAGTAAACAAAGTTACGACCGTTTAAAGCCAAGCTCCCAGTGCGAGCGGCGTGCGCAAAGTTCCCCCGCTTTTCTCGCGAAGTTTTGGCGTGTTTATTTCTTTTAATTTTTTACAACGCGACCAGCGAAGGTTTCATTTAAAACAAACTTACAACCAAAGATAACTGTTGTCTGATAACTTTTCTCAAGTGATAACTGTTACAACATGACAAACTGATTTGAACAATCAGAAAGAAGCCGGGCGGAAATGTCTTGCTGGTCTGGGCGGAAGTTTGGAAAGCAGAAGCCATGAGCCATGGTCACTTTGACCGTTCTGTGATTGTATTGGAGGGATGGACAAGTTTCCCCTTTATTACTCGAAGTACAGGGCGAAAGTACTAAAATTTAGTCGCAGTAAGCACGCTACTTTTGGCATACCGTTTCTTATCTTTGTGGTCGGTGGATCTTTCGCTCTAAAAGAGTTTGCTAAAGTCCGGTATGGGGTTATGTTATCCGTGTAGTTAGTCTCAAAACTCTATTAACTCAGTAAAGTCAGCTTATTTCTTTGCCTTATTATCATTTCAGTTATGAATTTACTCATGTGAACCCATACGAGCTGCCTGCAGAGTCGAGAGTTGGAAAGGTTGTGAAAATAGACCCTCAAGAAGAATATAAGAAAATGATGAGCAAGGTATCCTTAAACTATATTTTTATTTTTTATTTCATTTTAGATACATTATCACAAAATACATCAAGTGAAGTGCTCTTTCTTTGATTATTTCTTTCCATCTTTTAGATTGACATTGACAACTGGGAGAACAAAAGAATTCCTCGTCCATGGGAAGAAGATCCGAAGTCCAGTTCTTAAGTTTGTATATGGTTACTAATAGTTTCTCTGATCTACAAACTTGAAAATGGAGAGTGCACCGAAGGAAGTGACAAAGTCACCTTGTCCTCACCATTCTAGCACCAGGTTTTCTCAATGTGCTTCTTTCCGCAGTATTCGAAAGTCTATTCTTGACTCTTGTCAAAAAGCGGAAGAAGCCAACATTGATGATTTTAAAGCACTCCTTGATGATGGAGAGATTTTTGACATGACTCGACTGGAGAGTAATAACTATGGATATGATGCACTTGCTGATTCAATACTCAATAGTACCACAGCCAGTAATGATAGTGACAGTAATAACGCAGTCCAGGCTCTACTAAATAAACCTTTTGTTCCATTCTCTGTCGAAGAGTTGTCACTTGTAAAAAGTCTTACTTGTTGGTCAAATCACAATATTCGAGTTATAGGCCGAATATCACCAACTGCTGATAGTTTTTCAAATTTATGGTTGCTATCTAGCATAGGAGAAGAGGGTGGTCCATTTTCTATAGAAATTAATTTTAAGCTTGTGAATGAATTTCCAGTTGTACACTCAACAATTCAAGTATTTGGGGAGATACAGTTCTCAAGTGATTCTAGGCCTGTGATACTTGCTAAATTCTACAGAGATCTTTCTTTGGTTGATCTATTTTATTTCAATAAAGGTCTAGAGGAAGTTAAGAAATTTGTTCCTCATTTTGTCATTGAACAGTCACAGTAGTGGTATTCAATGTGGTAGGTGTAAACAATATTTTGGGGGAAAAGTTTTAGTTTAGTAACTAGTAATGTTAGGAATGGATAATCATACCTGTCCCAAAAACTTAGGTAGGTTTTCTAGTTTAAGTGTTGTTCACAGTTGTACGTTTGGCAAGAAATAAAAACATATTAAAAACGAATTAACTTTATTATTTAACCTGCACACATTTCATTTCAAAGAAAAACAATAAGAATTCCAAGTAGCAAGAGCTAATCTAGAAACAGTACTCTCTGATCAGCAAATTTCAATCAATAAAGACAAGGCAATAAAGCAAAAGAAAATGAGGCACAGAGAGGTTGGTATGTTGAGAAGACAGCTGAACAGGGATTGACAAACAAGCCTTGTCACAGAAATAGTGATAAAAAGGTGACTGGCACCAATGGAGGAACAAATAAAAAATATGATTATAAAAAGAAAAACATTTATTTTAGTAGATGCACATTGATGGATTAGCAAGTTGAAATGTAATACTCAATTTCTCTTAACTTCTATATACATGTTACTGACAAGGGCGCAGACAAAATGATACAGTTCATGAAATTCTAATTAATGTACAATCATTGATGTGATGTTTGTATACCACTGGAGGACTCGGTACAATAAAAATCAATCAATACTAAAAACAAAGAAAGGGCTCTAACGTCATGTACAATAAAATACATGAATTTTACAAACATAGATATGGGGGAAATAGAAATTTACGTAGTTCTGTTTGAACAGCATAACGAATTTACACTCAGAACTACACTTGGTCATGCATGCTCATTTCTGGTATCAAGTCTGATTTGAGGGACGTGATTATCTAATAAACATAGAAGGATAGCACCTTCCACTGTAATAAAAAACTAACAACTCATTTCACTTTGAAGGCTCTGGCCAACACCTAGATTAAATTGCATACATGAATGCATAAGCACACATGCACTCAAATACACACTTGAAGTCAATTAATTTAAGTGTCACTCACTCACTTAATGTTCACAAGTTTATGTCTTTGAGCTCAGTGCTCAATCAAATTCTCAAACAAGCGACAATCTACACTCAATCTTCATCTTAGTTAAAATAATTGCAGAAAATATGCCGTGGTTGGAAAAAGATTGATACAAAGGCATTCCAAAACTGTGCAAAGGCTCACTGTAAGCTTATTTCTACGTATTTAAATACATACAATTTGCTAGAAGGACCTATTAACATTTGCTATGTAATCTGGAACTCAATAGCTGAGTAGGAATGTCCTACAAACACAAATGTGGCCCTATATGAGTAACATCTACATAAAAGTGGCTAATCTTTTGATCATGTGATTTTGTCACATGTAAGGAATATGGTCCTAAAGGCAAAAGTTTGCCAACAAAACACTCTTTTTTACTGACTTAAGTGCTTTGGGGCGCAGTACTCTTGACATAATTCTTAATT